CCACAGTCTATAACAGTTATCTAGACGTGTATATAGATAGCCAACATATTATACACTTCAATCATGAGCGACCTTTGGCATAAAATATGCGCTAAAGACAATAATGGATATTATTAAGTAGTATCTGAAACCCTGTGGCTATCAGTGGTTGAGGTGCATCGCTCCTCCCCACCACAAGTCCGAGGTTCAAACCTCGGGCTGGGCAAGGTTGACTGAGCCTTTCATCCCTTCAGTAGGTCGATAAATGAGTACCAAGCTTTCTTGGGAACTTAACACTGGGGGTTTCGCGTCTGACTGACCGGAACATCTGCTCTTGCACCTCAGGACTCAAGGTAACGTATACTGAGTTCAGCACAGTACCTCATGGGCTCACCTCATGGGCTGTTGTGCCACTGAGTTCAGTTGAATCAAGAAAAGTGCCTTTCAGAGGGGAAAATGAAACTTTAGATTCAGTGAAAAACGTATGTTTAAGTTTTTTTACTTCTGTTTGATTTTCCTACACGTCACTCATGCCAACCTACTAGCGTTTATTTTATTATATATTCAAAATGGTGCACTGAGAGATTTTTGCTGTTAAAAAGGAAGGACACATCGTTGAATATCTGGCAGATGCTGTGGTTTCACAAAGTTTGAAAAAAATAGCAACATTTTTTATAAAACACGCGCATTGTATTTTCAAAAGACTTAAACTAATATGAATTTAGATATGTTCCTCGTAATTTAATAATAATTGGGGGGCGTAGGGTTTTTAACGTAGTAGAGAAATTCAACCCTTTTATTTAAAATAATTTACAGTAAAGCAACTATTGTGTAAATTTGTATATATTTTTTCGAGCTAAGGAAAAAAATGTTAACATTTTTTACCTATTCTCTCATTTTAGATTACGTTTTTGATTTAAAATGGGGCTGCGGACTAGTGTTTTTACTATTGAAAACCGAGTACATTCCCCTGGAACTGTACTTCTTCTTAGTGCGGCCCCATATAAGTGTAATAAAAACCACCCAAAGTAATTTCGACGTCCAGTGGGGGCACATGAGCTCAGACGATGCGAACCGTACTTAGAATTTAATTTTCCAAGATCCTTCAAGCCAAACAGGAACTCAAGAGATCTTTTATATTCTGCGTAATCATACAGACCGCACATAGATGCTGTCGATTTTCTGCATCATGAAAGTCCATCGATTTAGGCCAGTGTCGAACCTGCAACCTTAAGCGGACAAAGCCATCGATAAACCAACTATGTCACCCATTCGGCTATCAAATACATTTAAATACGTATACATTAAATTCAGCATTTAATGCAGTTATTGCAGGAGTGAGTGAGTGAATATTAACGTCGCACTGTTCAGCTACATCGAGCTTTCGGCGATGGACCACGTAATTTTTGAACCATAGTCAAGTGACGTGGACGACACTTGAGCTATAAAGTTCTCCTAACTACCACACCGCACCAACGGGAGGACGTTTCAGCTCTCGACAGATTTATTGCATCGCTACCTACACGGTGGATCTTTAGGGGTATTGGGCTTAAAACTCGTGACAAGGTCAGCCACGATCCAATACCTATACCACTCGGCTACCGCGGCCATATTTATTGCAGGAAGGGAACCAGAACAGAGTATTATTAATCGTACAACTTAAAAGTGTGAATTCTATGGCAATTCATAAAAATGCTTTTGCAAATCAATGCATAATATGTAGAATTTTGAATTTTTATTCCAAATGAATAAAAGCTATGTCAATGGCAGTATGTAGTTAATTTATTCCAAAAATGTGTTTGTCTCTTGTACAAGCTAATAAATTTTATTTAATCCAAAAAAATGAGTCGTACTCAAATAAAGAATATTCTTTTAAATATGAATCAAATTTATATATACATTTAGCAACATTGAGTTGGGCCTAAGGGCATTCTATGCACATAACAGAGGGGCAATGGTTTGGCTTGAGGGCACACAGTGTGGAAGCGGAGAATAACAGAGGGCTGCACATTCTTAAAATAATTGTATCCATTAATTAAATTTGCATCTCCGAAAAAGTATAAATTGTAACATATAAAAAATCAATAAATATAAGTCAAATAAAATATATAGTATCAGTTTTATTATAATTGATTTATTCTGGTGCACTTTGGCATCATCTAAATGTGCATCAGTTGAATGAGACAATTGTACTCTATCATACCTTTCTACAAATGTTTTAAATCAGGAGTGAGATCACTTGTTGAAATTCTCATCAGAGAATGCAACTTAATGTCTGCCAACTTGTATCTTTATTTACTCCTATTGTTCTTCATGCATGCAAATAAAACTTTGTCACAAATATATGTCGACCCAAGTATCAGAAACATTTTCTCTATATTAAGTTTTCTTTTACTAATTTATTTAAAATGGTCCGTAAGTGACATTGACGCTGTTTGCTCACCCTGGCATACAATACACAATAATACTATAAAAGGATGTGCTAATTAGTGTGTATGTGTGTGTGTGAAAACAGTGTTTCCCTTTTCTCATACCACGCTTTTAAGGTATCACTACGTTCGGAACAGTGATTTTAAAAAAGCGCATAAATGGATAATTTTCATGATACACTCTGTCGCAAAAAATATGCACCCAGAATCATGAAATCCATCGATTTAAGCCATGTAGTCTGGTAACCTGCAAATGATTAAAATTTCAAAGCCAATGAGACAAGGCTAAGTGTGCTATGCACCCATTTAGTTGCGCAACTGGGAGAGTTTAAAACGCATGAGTACATTAAATACGGCTATTTAAACGCATCTGATGACTTTGAGTAGACGATATTGAGACTTTAACGATGCCTCTTCAGACGTAACCGGCGGCAGTACGAGCACTGACGGACTTTGATAGGGGCCGTATAATAGGCCTCAGAGAACCAGGTTGGTCGAATAGACGTAACTACCGCCACCTCGGTCGGAGCGATATGGTAGTTGCTCGACAGCTTAGGCAACAGTGGATCACAGAAGGTAGAGTGTACCGTCGCGGAGGGTCAAGACGTCCCAGGAACACAAATGATCGCGAGGATCGTGCAATCAGAAGAGTGGGCACTTCGGCACCAAAGGGAACGTCGAACAAGCATTTATTCAACGCCACTTAAATCCTTCCAGACATCCAGTGCCATCAAGAAAACCAAATAAGGAGAATATGACCGAAGTTGGACTTTTATTCCGACGTCCGAATAAGACGCTATGTCACTGACCCCACATCATAGGCAGTGTCCACTGGATTTTTGCCGACCTCGGGCAACTTTATTTAACAGACTGGGGAGTGTCATCTTCAGTGATGAATCCCGATTCAGTCTAAATGATGATGACCAAATTTATATGTATGGAGGCGCAACGGCCAGCGGTCCGATCCGGCATTTATTGTCGAGCGGCATACAGCAATTTCACAAGGTGTGACAGTGTGGGGAGCAATTTCTTGGGACACACGATCATCTTTAATTATCCATTAATTAAATTTGACAGCTCGCAAAAGATAAATGGACGATATTTTAACGCCGATTATAAGCTACCCATGCTATCAAGTCACCCAGGTGCCATTTATCAACAGGATAATGCTCATCCACATACTGCACATCTCCCAACAATGTCTTCAGGATATGACGTCAATACCATGGCCTGCCAGGTCACAAATCTTTCGCCAATAGAGCATGTCTGGACGCGCTGGGAAGGCAACTGCAGCCGTCCTGAGATACAGGAGAATTAACTGCGCAGATGCAAAGACTATGGCAGGATCTTCCACAGGGGGTCATAAAGTGATCTAATTGAATCGATGCCACGCCGAATTTCGGCTTGTATAGCTGCTAGAGGTGGCTTTACTACTTACTGATTTTTAACCTTTTGCAAGCTGTAACCGCTTAAAAAAATGATATTTTGTTCTGAATTTTTAATCATTTATTTATTTTCATATGCACGACATGCATACCAAATTTCGTGAATGTAGCTCAATTTCTTCTGGGTGCATATATTTTTTGCGACAGAGTGTATTTAGTGTGATTCATATTAGAATAGTGTGAGCTGTGTGAAGTATAAGTATGAGGCCCCTTGGAACCTTTTGATTGCCTTTTTAGAGATACAGTTGGCACCGATTTCATTTTAATGCATGGCAACACGTAGGAGATTTGCCGGATGATTTGGACAGCCAGATCTCCAAATCGCAACCCTATAGAGCATGCTTGGGACGCTCTGGATGTGAACAATTGCAACTCGCAAACCATTTAAACATGTGTAAATGGTTCTCCTGTTTTTAGGCCTAAAATCAGTGTTACTGAACGAGTGGGACCATTCGCCACAAGAACTCTTGTACTCCGTCATTTCCAGTACAAAAACCCTATGCAAAACTTGTATGTCTGAGAGAGGGGACCCTTTTCCCTTTTAACTTATTTGTTTTTGTTTTCTTCTAAAACTTCTGTTTCATGTATTCCAAATCCGATTAGTGTTACGCCCAATCCTGCGTGTGTACTATAACTTTTGAATAATAATTATTATAATTTTATTTACTTATTTATTTTGCATTATATCAACATTATGTATATACTAAATTTCATTAAAATCTGTACAGTAGTTCTGGAGATAACCGACTAAATCTGAAAATTCTCTGAATTTTGAACACCAGGGTATATGCGGCTTGATGCCTCCCTTGTTTAACCCGCATGTCTGCAGTGCACGCACTGATCACCTCCTAGGATCAACACTGCGTACACATAAAAATTTTTGTACGTTTCTTCAGAAGTATTGAACTCACTGGGTTATAACAATGCAAGCAAAAGAAATAATCACTTCTGGGATTATTCAATATCAATTTAAAATGGATATAACTACATGATAACATAATCTTCACACTGGGACGTCTGAAGACTTCTTGAAGCCCTGAGCCCTTACACAAATGTAGGCCCCACCTATGATTCTTAAAAGTAGATGGTACATAGCATACGTTGTCAAATACTCGTACAAACAATAACCCGAAACAAATAAATGTTCATGATTTACAATTAATAGGAGCAGGCGGGGGCATTCGTATTCCGACGCTAGAGGTAAAATTCTTGGACCGTCGAAAGACGACCCACTGCAAAAGCATTTGCCAAGAATGCTTCCCTTAGCCAAGAACGAAAGTCAGAGGCTCAAAGAAGATTAGATACCTTTGTAGTTCTGACCCTAAACGATGCCCGCCAGCGATCCGGCTGCGTACGAACGTGACGCGCTGGGCAGCTTGCCCGGGAAACCTGAGTTCAGGCTCCGGGGGCAGTATGATTGCAATGCTGAAACTTAAAGGAATTGACGGAGGGGCACTACCAGGAGTGGAGCCTATGGCTTAATTTCATTGAACACGGGAAAACTTACCGGGCCCGGACGCCTAACAGATGGACAGATTGCTAGCTCTTTGTAGAGGTTGAGGATGGTGGTGCATGGTCGCAGTTGGTTCGTGGGGTGACCTGTCTGGTTAATTCCGATAAAAGAACGAGATTCTTGCTTATTAAATAGGGCTGGTTCCTACGAATGGGAATCGAGTCTTCTTAGAAGGACCGTCGGCTTCCAAGCCGTACTAAAAGAAGCAATTAGGGTCTGTGATGCCCTTAGATGTCCGGGACCGCACGTGCGCTACAGTAGAGCACATGTGCAAACTGGTTCGACCGACTGCCGCCCTTTGACCGAATGAGGAATGATGGTTTGTGGTGGTAGGCGTAGGCCTATACATGGACGACGGTCATCACATGTAACCAGTTTAAATATCATCCAAAATTCCCTGTTCTTCGGAGAATACAAACGGAAGTAACACATTTGACCGTAGAAATTATTCAAATCATGATCTTATTAAGGCTGAGTCGAGAACGAGACGAGGATCCTCATAGTGACCGAGGTCCTGCATCCGGGCACAGTTGGCCCATGCCTTAAGTCGTCCCTGTCTACACATACATAACAAATCCCGCGCAGCACTGAAAAAAAATCAAAAAGGTTTCTCCGTCCATTTGCTCAATTTAAAAGAAAGTAGAAGTTTTTAAGAACAAAAACAGTCTAATCGAAAAAACAGACTCTTCTTAGAAGACTTCACACACTCTTGGCGTCATCGAGATCACAGCAATGGCCTCCAACAAGCAAGGTGAAATAGTGAAGGATCGAACATGACAGTAAAAAAGGTATGTATAGTTGAACCCGTTTTTGTGCGGTTGATAGGAACCGCATAAAAATAACCGCACAAAAAATATTTCAAAATTTCAGGAATTCTTACATATAACAATCAAATCCATCGAAATACTGCAGAAATTTTTTTATGCGATCGCACAAAAATAAAATCGCATTAAAAAAGGACCGCTTAAAAACAGGTTCTACTTTATCAGACTAAAAGGATTTTCACTTGGCAGTCTTGAGGCATCTATAAGTATAAATGCTAAATTTATGTTAACAACTTTAAAAAAGAATCCTGGTGGATTCCCAAATATCTTATATGAAGTATAGAAAGGCAATATATAGGGGACTTACACATTTTTTATGTAGTCATCACTGAACAATTTCTGAGATAGAGATATTTTATATCACCTATTTACACTCACTTCCACAAGTTAATCACGAAGATGTAAAATGCACAAAAAAATCAAAAAATACTGCTTTGATTGACACAAAATTTGGCAGTAAAGTAGCATATATATTTATACATAAAACAAAATCAATAATTATATACAGAAATGAAAACAATATTAAATTTTTTGTAAGTTATCAGATAATGCCCTATTGGAGACTTAAACAGTATCATGTATAAAGTGAAAATAAACGGCATAAAATGAAAAAAGGACATTAATAGGGTATGTGATTCCCCCCCAATCTGTGTGCAAAGTTTACACCTTCTGACCACATGCTTTCAGTTTGGTGGTCAACCACCGCAGAATTCAGCAATCGCCATTACTCTTGTAGAGCAGTTTCAAGCTCAATAAGAGTGGCTGGAGGTGGGAACCGTGAAGATACAGCATGGCCGAGAGCATCCCAAAGATTTTCAATGGTATTAAGGTCGAGCGAATATGTTGGCCACGCCATACGCGCAATCCCTTCACTCTCCAGGTAGTCATCGACGATGTCAGCTCTATGTGGATGTGCGTTATCGTCCATTAAAACAAAATTAGAGCCAACTGCTGCAGCGTACAATCTCACAATGGGTTCTAGGACTTCATCTAGATACCGGACAGCCGTCACAGAACTCCGTCGGTGCGGTATCCTAATGAAATCCCTGCCCACACCATAATGCTTCCACCTCGGAATGCGTGATGTTCGGTGATGTTTTGAGGCTTATTGTGTGTTCCTTGTTTACGCCATATCCTTATACGCTTGTCATCTGGCTCCAGAGCAAATCTTGACTCATCAGTAAACATGACATTGCCCCAGTCAGACACAGTCCAATTGCCAAGTTCCCGGCACCACTTTAATCGTGCCCCTTTTGATTGGACGGATAGAGGAACACAAATTCGAGGTACCCGGACATACAGTTCATTCATATGTAATCTTCGGCGTACAGTAGCTGCAGATATAACCTTACAAATGGACGCTGTAACCATAGATGACACACGTGTGGAGATCGCTCTGCGATTCCGCTTGGCTACTATAGAAATATATCGATCTTCCGCGGGAGTGTAACCCCTGGGCGACCGCCTACGGGCCTTTGGACAACTGTCTGTGTGATTTGGAATTGTTTCCATCAACGTGAAATTACAGAATGATGAACGCCGAAGAAAAGAGCAACATCTGTGATCGACTGTCCTGCTTCAATGCGCCCCACAGCACGCCAACGCTCAGAATATTCCATTCGTTTTCTAGAAGTCATAGAAACACGTACGTCTTGAAAACAAATTGTACGAAAGTTTAAACACCTTCTATCAGCCCTTACAATCAACTTCTGTAAACCTTCATAAAGATGGCTTCTTATAAGACAGTCCTTTTTGCATATTTCTTACATAAAAGCACGATTGGCTGTTACCTAACATATTTGTATACTTCCGTCTACCTCTGCAGCGAATTGCATCCTCTTCAATTCTGATTGGCTTCCGGAAATTAGCATTTTCCTCTCCGTGCTTAACTTTTGGAAGTGAGTGTATATAAATACAGTTATCATGGCTGCTTGTATCCTGAACATTTTGAACTCGGGTGCGAATAACGAATAAACACCCAATACTGCAAAAATTCGAACAATTTCCTCAGGTTCAAAAGATAGATTGTACATGAAATATCTTCATATCACACCATCGCGAATATAAACCGCGAATTCTCTTTCACATTAAAAATAGTTCGTCCATATTAAAATATTCTGAGTCTATCAAGAGGATTATAATCACTTACAGTGATCTTGAACGATGCCTACGCCTCTAACGACAACGACTTTCCAATGGCAGTCAATTCAAAAACAAACAGAAATATCACACTATTTTCTACTATTGTGTTCTAGGAGCCAGGGGTGACTCTAGCAGGTGTGCAGCACTGCATTAAATTTAGAATTTACACATTTTTTAAAAAAATTTTCAATGAGCATTCGTAAAAAAAAGTATTATACGAATATACCAATCATGTTATCGCAAACTCCATACCAATTTTTGTTATTCCTCGTTTGTCGTACTTGTAAATGAAATTTAATATTTTTACTTCAATTTTTGTAAAAGTAGGATTTTAAAATCACTTCATAAGCTTCAAGTTTTTCCAGTTAAAAAATTAAATAGTTAGCTTTTTATGAAATTTCGAGCACAAAATCTGTTTCACATCATACAAACACATAGGAGGCAACTAATAAAATTTTGAAAATCATTAAGTGTTAAAAAAAATTCGTAAATCACACCATCTCCCCTTATAAGAATAACCATTTTTTTAAATTTAAAATTGAGCTTTGTTGTAGTCTTATTAATCGATTTGCGTCATCTCTGTTAAAAATATTGCTCCTAAAACTTTAAGAAGCTCTATAATTTTGATTCATTCCACCTATGAGAAGTACTAAAGTCATTCATAATTAAAAGAGGTCTCAGGGGTGTTAAATTTTTCTGGAGGTCTGAAAATATAAACAATTTTCAAACAAGTATAATTCTTTTAAATTTAAATAATTCTAATCTTTAACACATTATTTATAAAGGAATGGGGCTTCAGAAAAGTATAAAATGTTTAAAATATAATCATAATTTAAATAATTATTAACATATGAAAATAAGAAAATTTTCTATAAAAAATATTTATGAAGTTTTTTTTTTATGTCACGCATGCTATTTTCTAAAATAGTAGCTTTAATTACTAGCTATAAGTTGATTTATAAAGTTAAATGTATTCTTATTACACTGTAGCTATTTTTATATAAATAGAATAATAACTTATATATTTTAATAAATGAAAAAGTACATTTTAAAAAAATATTTAAAAAATTGCAACATTTTACAAATATTTTGAAATACAAAAGATATATAATACTAAAATTAGGTAGGTTTTAAAGAGTATGATGCATTTTTTATAATTCTACAAAGTTTTATACTTCAGAGGCTACTATTTTAGAAAATAACGTGCACAACGCACAAAATACTTAATATTTATTATAGGAATTTTCATTTGCTTATGATTTTTAAAATTATTATTATATTTTAGTAATTTTATACTTTTCTAAAGCCCCATTCTTTTATGAATAATGTGTAAAAGATTCGAATAATTTAAATTAAATTTAAAAGAATTATACCTGTTTGAAAATTGTTTGTATGTTCAGACCTCTAGAGAAATTTAACACCCCTGAGATCTCTTAAAACACATTATTTTGAGCGAACAAATTTTTCATCATGGGCTTTAATTTATTCAGCTCGTTTGACTGTCAGAAATTGGATTTAATTCTAATCTATACTTCTGTTTCATATCAATTTTTCGGTTCTTTTTATGGAACTGAAAGTAGGTTCTTTTAAATTTAGTTCACCGAGAAATTCTGGCTTTGTTTTCCTAAAAAGACTGCTAGACCTGACTCTTCAATCGTAAATATCAAACCAGTTAAAAATGACAACCAGTTTTCGCAACTTGAGCATGACGTGGAGCAACTGCTCCCAACTAATCACGAGACAACTCCTCCCAAACCTTGTGATATCCCCCCCTTTGGGAGAAAATCTCTCGGAGTGTCAGCGTGAGCTAGTGGTGTAATATTAACGAAAGAACTAGAAGGAATCATTATCTTAATGTGACTTTATTAAGATATTCAACTTAAACCTTTAACAAATTAAATTATAATAATTAATGTGAGAGAATCTACGATGGTAAAATACGCAACACACAATATATATATATAGATAATAAGGACTTAAATTAACTCAGACCACTATTAATAACTGAATAGCCTAACCTCAATTCTAATACAATCACTGATTCTAATAATAAATACTCAATACTACCTTGTTGCTGTCTGAATATAATCAATCTTTAATATCATTAAGGCAATCTTGTATTTATACTTGCGTTCACTGGTATACACCTTGGTTCTCTATAACTTTATCAATTATAACTTCTAATCACCGCCACGCATCTTTATCCAAACTTGAACCACAAACTATATTAATATTCCTCTACTTGCCATCAACTGCCCCAGATTGCCATCTCGCTTACTCTAAGTTCCAATATTTAA